ACCTCCGCGTGGGTTACTCCAGTCCGGAGCAGCTACAGCGAATAAAGAGCATTACAAAAAGTTGTGGATGCACACACTAGCGTTTAGGCCACAACTTGTGTATATTTATACACATTTTATATTTCAAACCAGCTCGAGGATAAGCATGGTGCCAGCGCAACAACAATGGACGGTAGGTTCAGGTGCAAATAAATGAAATGAAAACGGGAAGAAACAGGTTATGGTGATTAGGAAAGACATTTTCTATTTAGTTTAGTCACGCAATTTTCCTTCAGTCTTTCTTATTTGTACGGAGTTCCAACAAACCAACGGTACAACAATGACGCTCTTGACTTCACTCCCAAACCCTATCACTCATCGTCGCTAGCCGTCGCCAATCCTCATTCATTGGACACCAGCCTGAAAAATGGGCTGCGATAACCAGTCAGTGCTGAGGCTAACTTTTCTCTACCCTGACACTATGTTATGGTATGATCATGGTGCTGTTTCTTCCAGCGCTTTTCAACACGTATGAAGAGAGCACGGAAACGTTGGCGATGGACAGAAACACGCAAAATGTAATCGAGTCATTAGAGGCGGTGCAGGGCGATTACTTCTAGAGAACGCTTATCCACATCCAATACGACAATGAATCTCGTCATTGATCACACAATGTTCTCAACAGTCACAAACAATGCTCCGAAGACATCGATGCTCAAATACAGAAAACCGATTATCATTCTCAGTTCGAAATGACCAGGATGCGTAACCGTAAAAAAAACCATGAACCTCGTCGAGGTACACTCTTCCTGTAAGAGGAAGTCTGCTGTTACAGTGGTGCCGCATGTCGCATGCTGGAAAAGACTGCTCTAGCTTTCGCTATTCGTGATGTGATCTGCTCCCTAACTCTACCGCCAGCTGCAATCAAACTCCTGAGGTACTTAGACTTCTCAACTACTTCCAGCCGATCATCATAGACGGTGAGATCAAGCACAGGTTCCTGCCATTCTTGGACAAACACTGCATTTAGATGGTGCAGAGCACATACCATACCTGGATACCTCTATTACCAAGCGTTTCAAAGCGTTTTAGACTGCCGGTGTATTGTCACCCAGAAAGGCAATGTCACCAGCCCATTCTAAGTTAAGAACTCTGTTCCCACGGGGAAAAGCATTCCGTAAGCTATCCTCTGTGGCAAATTGAAAAAGGAACGGGGATAGGACATCCTTGCTACACTCTACTGGAGACGATAGCATTACGAAACCTGGTCACAGGCTTTAAAGAGGTCTGAGGTATGACGACACAACTCTCTGGGTAAACAATTACAACAACTTGCATACCTCGTATTTGTCTATGTTCAGTCTATTGGACATTAATGACCTGCTTCCAACAGGCCAGACCGCTAAAAAGGAACAAAGTTGCTGGTACGCTGTTTGCTATTGGAGAAACATTTTCCAGATTCTATCAAATTTCTGAGGAAATTTCAAGAGTAAAAGAGAGAAATAGCATCTGATTTGTTAGCATTGCCTTTATATTCCCATTTGGAAAAATGATGAATATCTTTACAGACGCGTGTAAGAGGTGATGAACTAAACAACCTCGCTTATTTTAATACAGTATAAGGTGGCAAACTTGTTCGACAACTCACTTTTGTCAGGAAATTTAGGAACACGGATGGTGTGTGTGTGTGTCTGTGTGCGTTTGTGCAGGAGAGTAAATTGAGTTTAGTCTCGAATACTCAAGAATAACCTGATCACAAAAGTTTTATGCAAGGAGGTGCGATCATTGCGCCGATTGTACCAAGTGGACGCATGGTTGTAGGGATCGATTTGGGAGAGGTCAGAACTGTAGATAACAAAATCCGATCCAGAAGTTTTATTTCATTTTTACTCATAAAACTGTGAAAATATACCACACACTCTCCACTTTGGAATATTGAAGAATGTGTTCAGAAGATGCATCAGGAACGCAATCAGTTTTCGTTTTCATAAGATTGAAGAAATCGTGTACAAGTCAAGTCCAACCAAAAAATCGCTTCATTCATTCTAGTGGATGGATTCTCAGCTGGTTGTCAACATAGAGTACAGGATAACTCCTTTCAAAAGAATGTAGCCGTTCTCTTTTGGCTAGCGGGAAGGCAACATCCCTACATTTAGTGGTGTTGAGAGATAACTTGGAAAACGAAGACCACAAGCTTAGGGCAGATAAACTGGTTTGAAGCTGTGAGAAGAGGAAATCACATTGGAATTTTGAACCTATAGTGACGCTATCAGCATACTCAATAAGAATATAATTTGGGTCAGTGGGTAGGTAACGAAAGAGAAAAGAAAAGAGGACAGAATTGCTCTCTGGAGCATCCCTGAGTTGACCTGTAACCAGTCAGGTGTTTCCGAGAAAATTCGTGAAGTGTGTTGTACCAGCAAAATAATCTTGGAGTAGAAGGAGGATGGTATGGGACAATCCAACACAAAAGCCTGCTTCTGTCAACACAGTTAAAAACATTACTATAGTCGAGGAAACACGTGAAATACTGTGCCGTACATGTCTAGGGTTTGCAAGACTGCGTTTACCAAATGCGCAAGGGCGTTTAAGGTAGAACGTTGTTTGCAATAAGCGAATTGATTACTATCTAGCTGCCCAGTGTTAGGAATAGTGTTACTAAGCATACAATTTTCGAAAATATTCAGTAAAACAAAAGTGCAGGCGATTGGTCGAAATGTCCCAGCTTCTTTTTTGGGGTCTGGTGTGGTGCGCACAGGTCTCCAACAGTCCACGATGGTGGGCTAGCGGCTGGACCTAACCGTTCCGTGAATGTATGTAAGATGCTTCTGACCAAATAGAAATTCCTTTTATGTCCTTACGATGGATGTTCCAAGTGAGCGACACAAGTTCACTATCTTTGTTCCGTCGGGAAATGATGACCGAAGAGCAATACGTAAAGTGGATGGCGAGATACTTGTCAGAATGAATCGGATGATAATGCCTAGTTAGTTAATCGATCTGGCAATATTTGGCAATCTAGCAGCAGTCTATACCTTATACCATTCGATGAAACAGTTTGATAATCTTGTACGTCATCTTTTTGTCTCTCTCTCTCTCTAATCATAGCGGTTTCGTGATCGATTCGGCGAACGACTCAAACCGTCCTCCGTAAGTCCTTTGTCACATATGCATTATGCCACGGTTCCACTTGTTTAGCTAACATTTTCCAGACTAAATAATTATTTAACTCCGTCTGCTTTTGACCTGCTATTAGGCTGAAAACAGAACAGTCCATTGTTGTAACAGGCACTCTTGTGTCTGTTACATCATGTGCTAATTAGTCATCCATTTGAC